ACCATTGTGATGGGATCCCTGGATTTTAAAGTTCTCGTAATCCATCCTATCATTTTTCTGGCTGACTCAACATTTGTTTGGTTATGCTCCCTAAATTGGTTATGCTCATCATTATTCCCTAAGCCTTTACATGTTACTTTCCTACTATGGGCACATTTGATTGTGTTTTGTGCCCTGTATTATGTTTAAGGTCCTCATTTTTACCGTACCTGAGTACCTGGAATTTATCACTGTTAAACGTCATGTTATTTTCTGTTGCCCAGTCGAAAACTTTATTAATATCTGCTTGAAGTTTTTCAATGTCATCAGCCGAAGTAATTTTCATGCTGATTTTCTGTTGCCCAGTCGAAAACTTTATTAATATCTGCTTGAAGTTTTTCAATGTCATCAGCCGAAGTAATTTTCATGCTGATTTTTGTGTTATCTGCAATGGATGATACGAAGCCGTGACTTCGGAAATGCAGTGGAGCAAGGACTGTACCTTGAGGTACAGAGCTTTTAACTGTGCTTGGACTCGATTTTATATGATTGACTGTTACTCATTGTGTCCTGTTTGACAGAAAACTGAGTATCCAGCGTCCTACTTTACCGGTTATTCCCATTAACCTCATTTTGTGTGCTATCACTCCATGGTCACATTTATTGAATGCCTTTGCGAAGTCCGTGTATACCACATCAGCATTCTGTTTTTCTTCTAATGCCTCAGTGACTTTGTCATAATGGTCAAGTAGCTGTGAGAGGCACGATCTTCCCGCTCGAAATCCATGTTGGCCTGGATTGTGGAGACCATTGGTCTCCATGAAACTGGTGACCTGACTCCTAATCACTCTCTCAAATACTTTTATTATGTGGGATGTTAGTGCAACTGGTTTATAATTCTTTGCCAATGCTTTGCTCCCTCCCTTGTGTAGAGGGGCTATGTCTGCTACTTTAAGTGCATCTGGTATCTCCCCAGTGTCCAAGCTCTTCCTCCACACTATACTGAGTGCCTGTGCTACCGGCACCTAGCATTTTTTTTATAAATATTGAATTCCATGGACCTGGAGCTGAGTGCATGGGCATGTTTTAAATTTCTCTTTCAAAGTCTAGTATGCTCGTGTGGATATCAGTTATATTTACAGGGGTTTGGATATCACGCGTAATGAAATTGTCTGGATCTTCCACTTTCATGTTGTGTATTAGTGCTAAACATGTCCTCATACTGCTTTTTTAGGATTTCACTAATTTCTTTGTCGCCCTCCGTGTATGAACCTTCACTCGTACGAATAGGTCCAATACTGGCAGTGGTTTTTGCTTTTGATTTCGCATATGTGAAGAAGTTTTTGGATTTTTCTTTATTTCCAGAATTGCTTTCTGTTCTAACTGCCTTTCTTTAGTCTGATATGAATGTTTCATTTTCCGCTCGATTTCTTAAATCTCCCTATTTAAATTATTCCGTCTTTGACGGGAAAGTCGTGTCTGCTTAAGCATTTCCGCTATTTTCTTCCTTCTTTTATAGTGTCGTCTGCGCTCTCTTTCTACGTTGGACCTTTCTGGCTTTCCTATAAGGAACATATTTCCGACAGATTTGATGCACTTCTGAAGTCAGTTTTTCTATTCCTTCTGTAGGACTTGTATTACCTAGAACAGTTTTCCATGGAATGTTTGTAAGTTCCCTGTTTATTTTCTCCCAGTCTCTCCTTTTATTGTTAAAATTAAATTTAGTGAATAACCCCTCTCGCCCGATCGTTGTTTTAGGTCCATTCTGAGTATTGATGGTAGTTTGCACTTCAATGATGTTGTGATCTGAGTATGTGGTGTCTGAGATCGTAATGTCCCTGATTATGTCTTCATTGTTTGTGAAGACCAGATCTAGAATATTATCGTTTCCTGTTTTCTTTTCTTGGCAGGAAATGACGAGTCTGTCTTCACGGAGGATGGCAGAATTTCCACAATTTCTATTTTTTTTTATTTCTTGCAGATAAACTTTACCAATGAATCGACAATAAGAATCAAATAATCTCTCGGTAACATATTGATGTCCGCAAAGTTCATTAATCAGCGAAACAGAGCAGCCTTCACCACACCAATTATATAAACAATAAGCTGGAGGATCCAGCCTTAATTAAACCTATCAAGTTTTCATTGTGTTATGAGCGACTCGGCGTTCGCCAACGCTGTACAACGAGAACTGAACGATGCGATGGACGTGCGAGCGTTTGGCCTGAAGACTGACGGACCTTTAAAGCAAATATCCCGCCAATCACAACACCAATTTCACCCGTAATTAAATGTCACTCACCACACTGCGCTCTCGTCTCCGCGTGGAGATGTGCGTTACGCCTTTTGGTGCTCACAGGAGGGTACACTGCTGGTGTCTTGTGGCTAATATTACTGCATAACTATGGCATCAGTGGACCACAACTGCATGCATTGAACACATCTTTACTGTCACGCAACTCACGAGATCCCGAAACTGGCATTAGAGGAGCGCATAGTGTCCCATAGTGGGACTGCATGATCCTCAGTTTGTATTGTACACTTTAATAAGCACGCAAAATATAAGTACAATCAGAGGGTTTATACTTCTCTGTGTCTTCACTGAGAGCATATTTTAGTTTTTAATGTTGTTAAAGCTTAAAGTTTAGTTTCCGGTTAACCAGTAAACTAGTGGTGGACTTAATAACCCTCGTCTTTAACAGGCCTTTAGAACAACACTAAACCAAAACAACAAATCACGGACCTATATAAATAAATATGTAAATGTTCGTTTGTTCAAAATCGGTAATCTCCGAAAGTTCTACACCGATTGCTTTGAAATTTTCACACAACGTTTCATTCGCATCCGAGCAGGTTTTTATATAAATACCATAGAGATGTCACGTCTGTGACAGGAACTTTTTTTTTTAACTGTGTTATTTATGTGTTTTTCATGTGAGGGAAATCTTCGAAACCTCATTATCGATTGCTTTGAAAATTTGACACAATGTTGCATTCGAATAGGCGCGTGTTTTTATACACCTACTATATACATGTTTCACCTGTGACAGGAAAAAACATGCTATTTTTTTAAAAGCAGCACAAACTGTTGGACATAAGAGCAACACTTGCTGTAATCTCCGAAAGTTATTCACCAATTGCTTTGAAATTTTAATACAACGTTCCATTCGAATATGCGCATGTTTTTGTATACCTACTATATAGTTGCCACACCTGTGACAGGTAAAAACATTTTTTTAACAGCGCCATCTGTTGCACGTAAACACAACACACGCTATACTAAATATATTACGATTTCATTTCAATGTTTCCGATTGCATTGATAAATTATTTTTTTATAGATTTCGATTTATTTTCGTTTTGACATTGCTTTGTAATTGGGCTGTGTTGTTTACCATACCGTTCATTTCACGAGTAAAGAATATTTATATATATTTCATTGTTTTTTCATTTCGTTTTTTAACTGTTCTTCCTATTTTTCAGTGATGGAAACATCAGATCATTTGGGAATGCATCGGAAGAAGGAGTGGAGGAATGGTGGGGAGGACGAGGGGACGGGAGTGGGGGATTATGGGGAGGACGAAGGGACAGGGGAGAGGGTAATGGTTTGAAAGACAAGGAGAAGGGGGAGTTGGGGATGGTGGGGACAAGTGGATGGGGAAATGGATAATGGTGGGAAGGACAAGGGGACAGGGGAGTGGGTGATGGTGGGGACAGGGATGGGAGGAAAGGAAGGGAGGACGAGGGGATGGGGGAGTGGGAAATAATGGGGGAAGACGAGGGGACGGTGGAGTGGGGGATGGTGGGGAGGACAAGGGGATGGGGATGGGGGAATGGTTGGGAGGACGAGGTGAGAGGTGAATGGTGGGGAGGACTGGGGGACAGGGAAAAGGTTGCTGTGGCTCAGCAACTCACATGTGTTGCTGAGCCACAGCAACGCATGGTCGGGTACAGCCAATATTAATAAAGAAGAAATATACCTAATGATTAGGTGCTAATCAGGTTTGATGAGCCCGACCGCCGAAGACCTTTATACATCACACATCCCGGACGCAGGTTCGAATCCTCATCACGGCCCTTGTGGATTTGTTCACCTTTATACATCCAAAACCGTCCCACTGTTGCTCCAGGGTGTTTGTGTGTGCGTGGGAGTGAGTGTGTGCTCACCTAGTTGTGCTTGCCTGGGTTGAGCTTCTGCTCTTTAGTCCCACCTCTTAACTGTCAATCAACTGGTGTACAGGTTCCTGAGCCTTCTGGGCTCAATCATATCTACACTTGAAGCTCTGTATGGAGTCTGCCTCCACCACACCACTTCCTAATGCATTTCATTTATTAACTTCTCTGCAACTAAAAAATTCTTTCTCATGTCTTTATGGCTCAATTGGGCACTCAATTTCCACTGATTTTCCCTGGTGCGTGTGTTCCTTGTGTTAAATAGATTGTCATTGTTTACCCTATCAATTCCTTTGAAAATCTTGTATATGGTGATCATGTTCCCCCCTAATTCTCCTGTCTTCCAGTGACGAGAGGTTTAATTCAAATAGTCTCTCCCCATAGTTCATGCCCCCTCAGTTCGGGGACTAGTCTGGTGGCAAACCTCTGAACCTCCTCCAATTTAGTTTTATGTTTAATGAGACATGAACTTCATGCTGGAGCAGCATACTCCAAGAGTGGTCTGACATACTTTGTATACAAGGTTCTGAATGATTCCTTACACAAGTTTCTAAAGGCCGTTCTTATGTTGGCCAACCTGGCATATGCCGCTGAGGTTATCCTCTTGATGTGGACTTCAGGGAACAGGTCTGGTGTGATAACAACCCCCAAGTCATTCTCTCTCTCTGATTCTAGAAGAATTTCATCTCCCAAATGATACTTTGTATCTGGCCTCCTGCTACCTACACCTATCTTCATTACATTACATTTGTTCTCGTTAAACTTTAACAACCATTTGTTGGACAATTTCTTCAGTTTGTCCAGGTCTTCTTAAAGCCTCATTGATGAAGTTGATGGTGATGTTGAAGTTCTGCAGGTACAGGACCCAGTGAAGCAGATGTTGGTTGGTGAACTGGGTCTGCTGCAGAAGCTGGAGAGGATGGTGCTTGAAGATGTTGAAGTAGCACTGCAGGACTCTGTGAAGTATGAATTTCCTGTAGAATCGAGCCTGCTGAATGGATCGACGAGAATGGTGATCCAAGGAGAGGGTGAGATTGTTCCTCTGATGCAAGACCCGGCGTAGCAAGCGCTGATTGGAGAACTGGGCTAGCAGTAGGAACTGAAGGAGATTGTGATACATAATGTTCACATGGTGATGCAGGATTCAGCGAAGTTTGGAGAACTGATCCTGACGGAGGGACAGAAGAATGTTGAAGTCCGAGGTGAGGTTAAAGTTGTAAGCTAGTATATTGGATGGTACGTTGTGTGGCATGTCGGGCAGGATGTTGAGTGGCTCCTCTCTGATGACTTTACCTATAGTTTATGATCCCATCTCGCGGTGGTGTGATGGTGTTCCTGTTGCCAAGGTGGACGACTGAAGGTTATTCTCGTCCTCGTCCATTTTAATCCATTCTCGTCCTCCCAGTCTAATACTTATGAGGACGAGAATGGAGTTAGTACAAGAAAAGGATTTACGCCTTTCAAATGCAATGGAAGGCAAGTTTGTCTTACAATATTTTAGCTGAGGGCTGATAAAGTTGTCTGGAGGAGCACGTTTATTTGGATTTGGTCCGTAGAGAGAAGGATCTTTCCTGGTGTTGGAATAGATCGAGAATTTAGAACCATTGTTGTCAGTCCAAGTACAACGAGAAGGATTAGACAATACCTTAGTGATGGTTATCTTACTCAGGTCGTTGGAGGTGTTATCATACTTGTTCTGACTTTCCTGGCGGTGTCCATACTGCGGGCTGTGCTTCCCGAGGTGTTTCACAACGTTAGCAGCCATACTGTTCTGGACGGAAACTGCTGTAAAATACCTGATGGTAGGACACGGTATAGTATAAAAAGGATTATTACCTGAGCTTGTCTGGGACAGAGGCTCGTCAAAGTTGATGGTATGGTTAAACGGCTCAGAAGACACTGGTACCGATATTAGGGGTGCCTTTAATAGTAGAGCGTTCGGCTTACCTGTCATCTGAGACATGTAACAATTCTTCACATGGTGTTTAATGTCTCTAATCATACCTGGCCAGTAGTAGTTTTGTTTCAGGGCCTTCTAGGTCTAGTAGAAGCCGTAGTGTGAGCGAGATCCCCGAACCAGACGTAAGATATCTGGTCGTAGGCTGTAGGGAACTACCAGTTGTTTGATGTTGGCCCGATCGTTGATCACCTTCAATTTCCTGGTTCTATAATGCCGGTACAACACTTTATTTTCTACTACAAAGAAACCAGGGATAGCGTTAGGTTGGGTCTCAGCCTGTAAGAATAAAGATGTTAAGGAGGGATCCTCTCTCTGCAGCTTACGGAACTCCAGCACTGTGAGATTCGGTGGGAGGCTCGGAGGATCTTGAGGAAAAGCTGCAGCAGCTGGTTTCGGGCGAGCAACTGTGGCCCGCTTCGTCACCATAACAGGAGGAAAGACGATGTCAGAATCTTTTGATGGGACCCCTTTAACCAACTGCAAAACAGGATTTTCCACTGCCGAGTCACATACTTGGGGATCTTCCTTGATGATTACATTCGCAGGTTGTTGATCTTCTGTCAAGTCGTTACCTAGGAGAAGTTGAACTCCTGACATGGGAAAAGGCTTTTCCCGGATGGCGACTTGGACTTTACCTTGCATAAACGGAAAATTCAGGCGGACTCTGACAAGTGGATATGGTGTTGTAGCAGTTAGGTCCATGATGAGAACAGTTTCTCCAGCGTAGGTGACGTTGGGTACAGCTGATTTCAGAAGAATGGACTGTAGAGCAGCTGTGTCCCTCAAGATCTTCACTTTGAACCTTTCCTCCGTATCTCCACGGCTGGCAGAGACTGTTCCGGAGTACAAGTGCCTGTTGAAGAGAGAGAGATAGGTGGAAGAAACAAAAATATTCATTACAGGCTTAGGTCTCTTATGAATTTTAGGAGGAAGTGATTTGGGCTTATTTTCACTGCTGAGCTTACAGTGAGGATTGGTACACTTTTCTATGGTATGCCCATAGTCTTTGCAATAATTGCAATACAACGATGAGTTCACATTACCGGTACTCACTTTTTCAGGACTAAACCAGGAGGTCTTACTAGATGGCGGATCGGCTGGTACTCTATGAATAAAACTGTAGGAGTCAACCAATTTAGCACACCTGGTAAGATCGTCTTCTTCCTTGTCGGCTAGGTAGAGACGTATTGGATTATGTATACGCCTCAGGAATTCTTCCACTAGGATGAGATTGACAATATCGGTAAAGGTGGAGACTTGTGCGGCTTCCAGCCACTTCATAAAATATCTCTCTTTGTTATTTGCAAACTTTAGATAAGTGGTAGCACTTGCTTTAAGGTAATCCCTGAATTTACGTCCGTAGGTCTCGGTAGAGAGGAGGTAGGCATCGAGCACTGCTTGCTTCAGTATCTTGTAGTCGGTTTCAGTACTGAGAGTCACTGCAGCTCTACCTGTTAAATGAGACCTGAGAAGCACAGACCACTGATCCTGAGGCCAGCTAAGTTGGGTAGCTAGAGCCTCAAATGAAGTAAAAAAGACATCTACGTCTGCCTCAACAAAAGATGGCATTAACTTAATTGCATGTGAAAGGTTAAAACGTACCGGAAGGTTAGCTTTAGCTTGTTGGCGCCGAGTGTGGTGTGTGATTTCTAAGTCAAGTTCTTTCGTACGTTGGTCTAGAGCACTGGCGGCTTGCTTCTTTTCGTGTTCACGTTGTATCTCCAGCTCGCGTTCTTTTACTTCGAGCTGTTCCCTCTCACGCTCACGTTGGAGGGCAGCTTGTTTTTCAGCGAGCTGAACTTGAAGTTCAGCTTCCCGTTCCTTCCTTTGGAGAGCGTCCTTCTCAAAGGCAGCTTGTTCTTTCAGGCGTTCACGTTCGGCATTAGCGAGTTCTAACTTCAATTTCATGGCTGCCAAGGCGTTCTTGTCTGCAATTGTGTAATGTTCATGAGATTCAGGAGTAATAGCATCATTTTCTAATAAGTACTCCAAGAGGAGGTTGTGCAGATCAGTTTTAGTGGCTCCATGTGGGGCTGTAAGGTGGTATTCATTTACCAGAGTCAGCATCTCTGCCTTAGTGGCACGAACTAGTGTGCCCACTTCATCGTTTGGATTCGGTCTAAATGTTGAAAAACGAAACATGGTGAATGATAACAAATATATGCAAGAGAATATCCAGGTGGATGTACCAAAATATAAAATGTCAGAGTGACAGGATGAATTCTGTCTGGTATTCTGGTAGGAATTCTGGGGTATTGAACCCCAGTTAAATACCCCAGAATTCGTACCTGTCTTATGGCTTTGAAGTATGGTGTAGTGGATACAGCGTGCAACTGCCACCTTGTTGGCCAGTGTTCAAGTCCCCAGGTGGGTTGAGTGTCTAAAAAGTTATAAACTTCAGCTAGTGGTTTATAGGCTAGTCTGTGCATATATATATATATGTCGTACCTAGTAGCCAGAACGCACTTCCCAGCCTATTATGCAAGGCCCGATTTGCCTAATAAGCCAAGTTTCCATGAATTAATTGTTTTTCGACTACCTAACCTACCTAACCTAACCTAACCTAACTTTTTCTGCTACCTAACCTAACCTAACCTATAAAGATAGGTTAGGTTAGGTTAGGTAGGGTTGGTTAGGTTCGGTCATATATCTACGTTAATTTTAACTCAAATAAAAAAAAATTGACCTCATACATAATGAAATGGGTAGCTTTATCATTTCATAAGAAAAAAATTAGAGAAAATATATTATTTCAGGAAAACTTGGCTTATTAGGCAAATCGGGCCTTGCATTTTAGGCCGAATATGACGTTCTGGCTACTAGGTACGACATATATATATATATATATATATATATATATATATATATATATATGTCGTACCTAGTAGCCAGAACGCACTTCTCAGCCTACTATGCAAGGCCCGATTTGCCTAATAAGCCAAGTTTTCATGAATTAATAGTTTTTCGACTACCTAACCTACCTAACCTAACCTAACATAACTTCTTCGGCTACCTAACCTAACCTAACCTATAACGATAGGTTAGGTTAGGTTAGGTAGGGTTGGTTAGGTTCGGTCATATATCTACGTTAATTTTAACTCCAATAAAATAAAATTGACCTCATACATAATGAAATGGTTAGCTTTATCATTTCATAAGAAAAAAAATTGAGAAAATATATTAATTCAGTAAAACTTGGCTTATTAGGCAAATCGGGCCTTGCATAGTAGGCTGATAAGTGAGTTCTGGCTACTAGGTACGACATATATATATATATATATATATATATATATATGTCGTGCCTAGTAGCCAGAACGCACTTCTCAGCTTACTATGCAAGGCCCGATTTGCCTATTAAGCCAAGTTTTCATGAATTAATGTTTTTTCGACTACCTAACCTACCTAACCTAACCTAACCTAACTTTTTCGGCTACCTAACCCAACCTAACCTATAAAGATAGGTTAGGTTAGGTTAGGTAGGGTTGGTTAGGTTCGGTCATATATCTACGTTAATTTTAACTCTAATAAAAAAAAATTGACCTCATACATAATGAAATGGGTAGCTTTATCATTTCATAAGAAAAAAATGAGAGAAAATATATTAATTCAGGAAAACTTGGGTTATTAGGCAAATCGGCCCTTGCATAATAGGCCGAGAAGTGCGTTCTGGCTACTAGGTACGACATATATATATATATATATATATATATATATATATATATATATATATATATATATATATATACTATGCCTAAAGCCTCTAATATGGTCAGCTGTGTCAATTGCCCGGAAGGGCAATACTCTGCAGACAAGCCAATAATATAGATATCTACATGTGCAATAGTAATTTCGCAGAATATATGTATATACAAGGATTATGTGGGGAAATCCCAGCAAAACGCTGCGTGTTGTGTTTGTGACCAGCAGCGGCCACTGTGTAGCGGCGAGCATATCCTGGTGGGAATATGTACCTCCCACCGTGAGTCTCACTCCCCCTCACTCTAAGCTCCCCTCCTTCAATCTAAGACAACCTTCACTCTAAGCTCCCCTCCCTCAATCGAAGCTCACCCCCTCACTCTAAACTCTACCCCTCACTCTAAGCT